TTCCAAGCAGACAGAAACCCTTTTTTAAATACACTCAGGCTGCCATGACCTCCATCTAGGACTTAAAGAGTTCACCACATGCAATAATTTTCTGTGCTCAGGAGACACTCTTAAATTTTCTTCGTGGAGATTTGGACAGTAACCTCATTGATGAATTAAACACTCACGTACTTTTAACTTGTTACCTTTCTACTACATCTGAAATCAAAACGTCGTTCAAAGGTATTTGGAAACAAACCCTTGAAATGTGCAGAAACTGAGGCCACCGGGGCAGGAAGAGGAAAGATGGGAGGAACAAGGTGGGACCGGGCCTAGTGGCTACCATGGTCCACATGGGCACTTGGGTGCTGGGCACAGTGTGGTAACAGACATTTGAACCTATACCACTAAAACATACACAGTGTTGTAACCCAACATTACCTCAATTAAAAAAAGAATTTGGAATCCTGTAGGACTCTGAAGTCCTCGATCCTAGTAATTGACATACGATTAAAATGCCAGCTCATGTGTTCAGTAGTAAGAACAGCTCACCTTAGCCTGGTGGAGGCAGGAGGCAGCTGTGTAGACACCTGCAGGAGGCAGCTGTGTAGACACCTGCAGGAGGCATGCAATCCCAACCCCACACTGAAGCTGGGTGGGGCTAATCTCATTTGGGGGGGGGAGCCTTCTGGTTTTTGGCCCCACCAATAAGTAGAGGACTAGTCATTTCACTCTATTGTGTCTGTGGTTACAAGATTTATGACAAAGGGTTTGAATGGTGGAATGTGCACCCTGAATACAAGCTTCTCCAAAGCAGACACCAGATTTCTTCTTCCTTTTTTGTTCCTCCTGGTAGAAGACAGGGCCCATGTGAAGCAGGTGCTTAACTCTGGACTGAGCAGGTGTATTTCTCAAGCTGGGTGGTACACTCAGCAGTGTTCATCATTCTGCTTTAAATGCACACACACACAAATAGGTGTACCTTACACACCTTTTGTAGGTAGGGTAGATTTCACCACTTTGAAAAGGAGACTCCTGGAGCCCATCTACCACACGGTCTAATCCAGCAGGTCTAGAGGAAAAATAGAATGCCTGTTTCCTCTCATCAGCCTAAGTCATGCAATTGCAGTTCATCTCCGGATTTCACTTTGAGAAACACAAGGACCGACAAGCAAACGCACATGCCTGCAGCCAGTGCTCAGCAGCTGGGGGGTAAAGGGTCCTCACTTCGTGGCTGCAGTGACCCAGTTTTGCCTTAAGCCAGACAGCACAGAGTGTAGTATAAAATATTACTCTCATATATGACAGGCAAATCCCCTACACCCATACTGACAATTATCTATTATTATTCTTAAAGCCTTTTTTTTCCCTCAAGATATTTGAAAACAGAAATCCTTGTAATGACTGGACTCTCATAATTTTACAAAGTTATACAAAGTTGGGAACTCTACTTGGGAATGAAGATCTCATATTTATAGCATTCTTGGAGACAATAACTTCTAGATGAATCCTTCCCTTCCTAAAGAGAAAACATCAAGGTAAAAGAAAGCAGCATATCTTTTCCCAAACACCACCTTCCTTGTTTTGCTATTAAACACCAGTATAAATGAGAGAAGTAAAATATCTCTATAACAAGAGAGTGAAACTACAAAACTCTTTCCAAACATAGAGAAATAATTTTCTAGTTTCTCAAAAAAGAAGCTTTTGTTAACCTGATTTAAACTCAATAATTCTTTTCACAAGTCCTGTCAATTTTAAAACTTTTGGAAGATTTGGGGTAAAATAGTAATTTTTTTTTAGCCATCGGACTTCATATTTGGAACAAAAATAAATGAAGTAAGCAAGGAATTAGAGTTTATTCTGTCTCTCAGAAAACATTCTGACCTACCATTTTGTAACTGGCAATGAAATTAGTGTTCACCAATTCTTGTTACCGTACCTATTATTTTAGAAAGAAACAAAAATACTCTCTACCACTATCCCCACCAATCAGACCATATCAACAACATCTCTATAGTCTTGTAGTTTTGAAAAGTTGCATTTAAAATTCTGGAATGCATAAACAGCAATTACATAAAGATCCTAACCATGATTCCAGTATTTAAATGAAAATAATTTAAAATTTAAAAGCCATAAAACAAGACTGTCAGTTAGCTATAACCTGAAATATCTTAACACCTAAAGGATAGCCCCACATCATTATATTATACATAGAATTCCTTCTGCTGTAAAAACAGTATCAATTCTAGTTGACTCACTGACACAAAAACCACCGAATTTATAAAAGCAGAAATCATTTTTTAACTTGAACAAAACATAATGAGGATATTTCTCACCAAAGAACAAGTTGTCAATTTAAAAGCATTCAACAACTCTTTCCATTCCATGACAATCTTCTCCTAGCCAACAGTTTTTCCCAAATGCATTTAAAATGATAGGTATATAAATTAATGGGAAAAAATTCCTCCTAAATCATACAACTTCGCAAAATAAAAATCAAACCTTTTGCATGACACTCATATTTGATACATTCCCCAAATCACTAAATAGAAACATGTACACAATCACGCATCCTCTTGAATGCAGACGAGCATATACTAGACACATGAAGACATGTTAACGTTGTGTAGATAAGCACATGATGGCGTAAACTAAATGTGAAGAAGCATAATAACACGAAGCCTACAAGGAACAAAAGGCTTTCTGTGTGTCATAAACACCGCAAAGCGGGTTTTGAAGGACAGGGGAGCATGGCACAGTACCCAGTAATCTTCCTACATGAGAGTACCAAGCCACTAAGCGCAAGGCAAGCAGACGAGCACAATGTCGCATCAAAACCTCGCCTAATGGCACCCGACAGTGAACTTGGCTTTTGCACCTTCTTGTTTATGTGCACCAGTAAATTCACTTCACATCCTTAAGTTAAATTGTTTTTGAATATATTACACAAGACATTAATCTCCCCTTACATTTATTTCAACAAATCCATGACCTTATAACGTTGTTTTAGCAAAACACTCAACTTCAAATGATCTAGTCTCTTTACTTGCAGGTCATTTTCTTTCAATATCTGGCATGAATATAAAATAGTCTGTTCATTTCACATCAGAATTTACTAACTGGACTTTGCCAGCTTTGTATCTGAAGCTCAATTTTCAGTATATAAGAATAGCTAGTATCTTACCACCCAGCACTACAGAAATGCTTGATAATGGTTATGTTGTACAACATATAAAGAAACATTTAAAGAACCAGACTGATGACTTAACAAAACAAAGGAGTTATTCATAAATTCAACATTCTTAATGAGCAACATTAATGTAAAAAAATTAAATGTCTACTGGGGAATGAACATGTAAATACATTACACCAGAATCTAATATTATATGTTAATATCAAGAAATTGGGTGAACTTTGAACTTACACCAAAAGTCCTGTTTGTGAACAAACAGGATTTTGAAAGTTAGAAACTCTTAGGGAGTCTGATTAGAAAGAAATGACACTTTTTAGCTAATTAACACTGTTCTCAAATATACCAAAAGAGACTTCTCAATTGTTTCAAGGCAATAGAAAGACAAGCAGGCACTAGTCCAAGACTCTCTAGCTCACCTATTTTGCGGCCACTGTAAGGCATAACGTCATGCTGGTTAAATCCATCCATCCGTCTATTCCACTCCTACACCAGGAGGCTAACTGTAGAGGGCAACTGTATTTTTTCCTCTCATCTCAAGATTAATAGCACTTACCCCATCATCACTCTCAATGATGATGAAAATTTTAAAAATCATCAGAGGAAGATTTCCAAGAATATCCCTCTGCACGATTCGTATCCACACACCTTGCCTCCTCAACTATAACGGTGAATAAAAGGGTCCAAACTCCTGCTGAAGCCCGCACAACCCAACACCATTCTCTCCCACTTGATGAAGAGAGTAGCGCAGCATTTCCTTCCATCAACAGCTACCTCCCTGCTGGACAGATACACCATGATGGAAACACACTGTCGTTCCTATATTTAAAAAGTCGATTCCTCCCCCAGTACAGCCCCATTTCCCTTAACCTTTACATCAAAGAGGGTCTCAAAACAATGAGCTATGCCTCCTATGTAATTCCTCTTCCCATTTTTTCTTGATTCCATTGCCAACAAGCTTTTGCCCCTACATTTCACCATAACCATTCTGGTCAAGGGTGCCGATGACTTCCATGTAGCTTAATTCAATGGTCAGATTCAGAATTCACATAGACTACTTACATAAGTTATACTTAACCTCCTCACTCTATAGTGCTTTTTCTGAATATAGAAATGTAAATGGAATAAGAATACAGAATAATAAGAATATAAATAGAAAAGGAAGAACAAGATATTACAAAGCAAGTCCCTTAGTACAAAATGATTAAGTTCTCACAACCAAGAAGCGTCTACGAGTAGCTTCTAAGATAATCAATTTTTTATTTCAACATACAAACACTCTTTCTTGCCACAAGTCCTTACAGCAGCTGGTTCTTGAACTTTCAACTAAAAGTCAGGACTCATTTATCCTTTTTATATCATCTTCACTTACCATAACAATTGTAATGATCCTTTTCCCTTAAATGTTAAGGGAAATTTTTAAGTACTAAAGACGACCACAGCATATAGCTTAGTGGAGTAGTCTCTCTCTTGGGCTCCCTGTCTTCTATTGCCCAACTTCCCACTGAGGCAGAAAACTCACCCATTCTGTTGCACTCACTTCCCTTGCTCTCCTCTTTGAATTTCTAAATTCCACACATCACTACCAATTTTAGTATCTTCCTGATGCTTGAACACATTCTCTTCTTCAATTAAGTTGCTATGGTTATGTGTTTTCTGTGACATGACTCCTTCTTTATAAAGTAATAGGTAGAACATTAATATGGAATATAATATAAATGTAATATGCTATATAACCTTAGAATATATGTAGTAGATGATGGAATATATTGACATATAAATAAAACCTCAGCACCACTTCTGCTTAAACGCAATGAGCCCTGTGACTCACCTCATTTCCACCAACTGCCTTGGTTAGAATCACAGCAGAAGACACAGGAGGAGGCATGCAGCCGACTGTCTGCAACCTGAAGAAAATGCAATTGCAATTATCAGTGTTCTGCAATTACACACAGTTTTTGCTACCTTCTGCCTAAGTTGCACGGAGCAAGTGAAAACAAGTAAGGTGCCCTGCAGCCTCAGACGACACCACAGAGGCACCCTGGCTCTGGCAGAGGCTGCAGGTGTGAGGAGTCTATGTTTTCGTTATGATCTCTAGGCTCCGGTGGTTGTATTTTTTCAGTTACTTAAGCTCTTACACAATTAAAAGCAGTCAGGTTACAACAAGTATGGTCATGATGGCCAAGTCAGAGAATCACCTCTGGACTCCTGGCTCCGGATTTTAGCTCTTAGGCCATAATGCTAGCATATGGTCAGTTTAAGCCACTTCGAATACGCTTTAAAGATCATTAAAGCCTTTTAATAATCATGGCAATATATTTAATGGAAAAAAGAACCTAATAAAATTCGATCATGAATTTAACTCGCCTACCAGACATAAAACAGAATAATAAGTGAAAAGGGAAATGCTTGCTCCCTATAAACCTCTTCTTTCCTGTCTATTTTAATAGCACATGTTATACTCAGCAGCTGCTGTATACACTGAGTAAGACACAGGATGCAAAAGGTCAAAGTCCTCATTCTTGGCCTACACGATGCCTGTATGCGGCTGTGGCACTCTAGGTCTTTCCACACTTCTCCCATCATTCTCCTTAAAATCCCCAGAAAACTGGGCCCTCCCTGGTGGTGCAGCGGGTTAAAGCACTGCACTAAGAAGCTTAAGCCATTTCCGAATGAGTTCGATTCCAGCCTGCCCAGGAGGAGATCCACATGGCAAAGCAGACCTCTCTTGACCCGCCCGCTGCTCCCTTCAGCAGTGTACTTTGTCGATCTGCCTGTTCTGCTCCCCACTCTGTCCCTGGTGTATCCTCTCACCCTCCGCATCTCTGGCCTGTACCCCAGTTCTATATGAATAAATAAATAAATCTTTTTTTAAAAAATCCCCAGAAAACTGTCCCTCTTAGAACCTTAAACTCGGGCACGAGGTGCTTTAAGATTCCGTTGTAAAATTCCTTAATGAACCTCCTTGATGAAACACAATTACTGTAAAGAATAATAAAGTTAAAAATGCTTTTATTGCTTTCAAGAGCTCATACCTGAACCCTTTTATATATAGTTGCCACAAAAACAATAACACTAGAGAGTCCTCATTAAAAAGTGGAGCCTTCAAAACATTTAAACATACCCTTTTAAAAGCCATTCATTGATGGGTGTGATTGATAAAAGCTGAAGAAAAAGCCATATTGCTGCTGGGAAGAATGCCAGTGTAAAGATCTGAATAAACAGATGCAGTTTTACATGCACCAAAGCACTGGTCAGCTCCTGCAAAAATGAAGGACACAAAATAGTGGTGTAAGAAAGCCATTTATGACGAGAAACTAGTACCGAAACATTTCATGAATCAGGCTATTTCAAATTGACATGTAATTAACATGTGACACTTTAATCGCTTCAGGTATAAAACATAATGATTCCACATTTGGATACATTGCAAATGATCACCACAAGAAGTCTAGTTAACATTCATTCATTTGGACATTTCATCACTAAATCTTGTACCTTTAAGACTTGAGCATCACAGCATCATCGATAACATTAAAATCTGGAAACAAGTTACCTGCCCCCAAGTGGGAGAATAACTAACTTGAGGTGTAATCAGCATGTCATGAGTTATTATAAATCATGTTAAAATTGTGTTGACAAGGACTTGGAAACACAGGCTCCCTCCCCTACTTTACAGTAGAAGGGTACAGTGACCTGGCTATGGAGAAAACCTGGCAACTCACCCTTCTCTCAACAACCACTTCCTGCTCACCTAGCACCACTGCAGAGATCTGGCAGACGGGTCACAACTTTCATGGACTCCTCGTCTGACTCCGCAGTTCCACCTCCAGGAACAGCTCTTACATGCGGAGTCCAGTGTGGGAAGTGGCCAGTTCTGAGGTTACCTTTGCAGCGCTTTTCGTAAATACAAAGCCTTGCCAATGCCCTAAATGTCCCCCACTAGGAGACTAGTGAACTATAGCAGGACACATTCATAAACCGGCATAATTTTAGCATACAAAAAAAAAAAAAAAAAACAGGCAGCCCTTTCTACTTGCCATGAAACAATCTCTAGGCAATGTTTTCTGTGGCAAACAGTATAAAATACTGCAGATGAAAGGGGAATACACATCTGTATGTTTTGTGTAGAATATTTCCAGAAAAATCCATAGAAACTGTTAACATTGATTCTCTCCAGAGGAAACAAGATATCTTGAGTCGGGAGAGGGGAGGAAAGAAGGCTTCATATCATACATACTTTTGTATCTTTTCATTTATACTCATTAACTTAAAATGTAAACTACATACATACATGAAGAAAAATTAAATTATATGAAAAAGTCTTATCTCCAATATCACATGAAAAATAAGATTATATGTGACTATGTGTACTGTGTATCCATATACATACATGTACACAAACATATTTTATATTTTAAATGTTCTATACATAAAACATGTTTTTTAAAAAGCCTAAAAAACAGATTTTAACAGTAGCTATTTTTTAGTCTTTCTAACCTTTCTACAATGGATAAAAAAGCACTTCTATAATCAGAAAAACTTGCAAAAGCATAAAATGCAGTTTAAAAATACTAACCCACCAGACACATGACAATGGAAAGCAATTGGCATTGTGTCAGAACAATGGAACAGTAAAGAAGGCAGCAAGAATGGTCACAAAGACCTTCACCTTGGGTTATGAGTACTCTGAACAGCAGAAAATAATAGGCGTGAAATGCCCCTAAGAAAGATTTTCAAAATAATCACAAAAACTGAGTGTTACGTACTTTCCCTGTCTAATTCATACAACCAGAAAGATAAAATAAGTTAACACTAGGAAAGGAAAAGCAAGCAAACATGGTAAAATCCCAAATCGAATTGTTCCAGATAGATCCACGTAGAAGTCAGGGCCCATGTCCTCAAGTAAATGCCATCATGAATAACTGAAGAGTTGGTTCTGCATGACATTTTGTTTATTCACATGTAATATGGGTCAAATTCCATTAAAATAAGCTTAAGGAGACACTCCACAGACTGATTACACCACATTCTCACCGACAGAACGCAGAATTGCGTAAAAGCAGGTGCTCTGACTGGGATGCAGAAGTATTTTCATCACACACCAATTTCCCTTCTAACCCTTACTTGACCTTTATTTGATTCACTTTCTGAGCATCAGTCTCATAGCTCTGGGCTGAAAACAAGCAGCAAACCCAAAGTTTGGAATTTGCTATGTTTATATTGTTTATAAGGATGTGTATGTTTAGGATTCACATCATTATATATTTGCTAATGGAACTTTAAAATATCTGTTTAGAAAAATAAAGACAAACCTGCATAAACTTCCATAATCAGGAGCCTATTCCAGACCCATGACCCTGCTCATCTTTTTTCTATTCCAGCACCAACCACAATACCTGTAACTAGAGGACTTGACAGGTACTTGTTTATATGAGACTGGTTTGCCTCAGCCGCAAAAGTGACAAATTCTCTGAAACTATAGGTATGAATTAACTACTAAGTTAACACTAGGAAAGGATGAGAAGCAAACATGATAAAATTCCAAATCGAATCGCTCCAGATAATTCCAGATATGTTTCAAACATGATCTTACGTCACTTAATTAAAGTTTCAGAAATCAATTCAACATATATTTCAAAAACTAGCAATCATTAGTCATAAAACTAAAGAATTAGTATGAAATCTTTTTGACATGAAGCATGAACATGATTTTTTTAATCATTTTACTAAGCTAGAGAAACAAATCTTAGAATACACATCATTTATGTCAGTACATGAATTATACTATAGGATATTCAGTATAAATTAAATTTAAGGGACCAATACAAACTTTACTTTGTTTTCAAATACATTTAAGTCACTAGTAACCTTCTGTTTCATATGTGCAAAAAATGTACCATGCTAGCCCTATATGATTTAATAGTACTCCCTCACTGCATTTAAGATTACTGACTTCAACACAAAGGACAATAAACTGCTACCACCTAACGGAACGATTATTTGGTTAGCCAGGAAATTAGCAGAATTCCGAAATGTATGACATTACACAATGATGTAATCTAGGGCCTCTTAAGTTAAGTGAATCTTGAAAATGACTTAATGTCTGTTAGTTTGAAAAGGGCCTTTGATGGAGGAAACGCTTTGATCGCTCCTTAGATACCGAGATAGAGCACAGGATCAAGGCATCTCATCATTAGATCCAAATTAGTTGGATGGCTCTGAACGTTTCCTAGGTGCTGACAGAAGAATCTGATCCCTAGGGAAATCTACGATAGTCTCCCTTCTTCAGTTCCTGCATCCCACAAAGTTGGATCCTTTATAGAACAGCATTAAGCAGGAAGCTAAGGAGGGGAGAAACAAGTCTTGGCAAGATTTCCTAAGGCGTAAGTCATAGCAATAGCCTCTGAGCTCAGGGTACGTGGAATTAGAGCAGCATCTCAAGTAGAAGACTTGGCAATCAGTGACTATTTAGAGCTCTTGAAATACAATTTATCAGTCATAAACAATACACTGGGATCTAATCTATATCAAAAATGCCCCAACAAAAAGATAACTACTGGGCCCTCCCTGGTGGTGCAATAGGTTAAAGCGCAGCACTATAAAGCTGGCCACAGCTGCTTCAGCAGGAGTTCATAAGTTCGATCCCCAGCCAGGGAGGTGACCCACATGGCGAGGCAGACCTCTCCTGACCCGCCCGCTGCTCCCCTCAGCAGTGTACTTCATCAGTCTGCCTGTTATGCTCCCTGTCTCTGGTGAATCCTCTCACTGTCCTGCACCTCTGGCCTGTACCCCAGTTCTGTATGCATAAATAAATAAATCTTAAAAAAAAAGATAACTATGGAATATACAATTTTAGTGAGACCTTTTTCTGTTTTTTGAAATCAGGATTATAAAAGGAATCAACTAAATTTGATCTTCATTCAAATCATACTTCAAATTAAAAAACTAAATTTAAATAAAGGGACTTCATAATCCTGAAACAAAATTTTAACTTTAAGCTTCTCCCTACACCCAAAAAAATCCTTCCTAGACATACTAAAATTTCCCTAGCTACATAAAAATAAGCATCTTAGAATGACAAGACTTAGGTAATTTCTCCAGTAGTAAATGAGTATTTCTCCCCCTCCCTCATAATAATTCAAAAGGGAATCATCAATTCTACTTATTCCTCTCTTGTATGTAAAATATGTCTGGATTTCTTCTATTTTAAAAGAATCCCATGTTCAGTGAAACCTGGATTGGTATATAACATTACTTTTATGTTCTTGTGACAGTCTGTGACTTAGTCTGAAAAATACCAATATTTCTCTTAAATGAGCTACTAATATTTAAATAGATCTGCTAGCAAAGAGTAATCTTTGTTGAAAGATTCAACTGAGTTTTAAGTTATAACATCAAAAACATCACTTGAACAGCTTTTGTCCTGAGAACAACAAAAAAAAATGATCCAAGGGAGTAATGGAAACCCAACCAAACATCAGTCAGGTACATGAGTCACCCTCCGCACTAATGAAGCTATCGCTGCTACGCAAGAAAGATGCTCCAATTTAAGTGCCCTATTAAAACATATCCGTTACCTACACCCTCCAGGTCCCTACACCCAGATAGGAGGTTTCTTTAACAGCCAGTACAAAACGCAGGTCCAAGTCGTTTCCTGTTGGGTTACGCTTTCAGACTACAGCTACGCACAGCTTTACTAAAGGATTCTGCTATTGCAAAACAGCACAAATTAATTTTCTCTCCCTGTTTTTCAAGTGGCCTTTAGTGACAGTACCTCTGTTTTTAATGACAGTCCGCTGTTAAAGAATATCGTTGCCACAGCAATGTAGGAGACGGTTATTTCGGGTTTCAGTGGTCCTAAAATGAGAGAAATGAGTTTCTGTTAGATAAGAATTTCCAGTAGTTAAGCTGGTGTGCCAGCAGAGTCCACTGGGGGAAAACAACCAGCACATGAAGTCCTAGTGTGCCCTTTTCCATCGCTGTCCTGATAGGCAGCATTTGTTCTGATGCAGTCTCCATCCAGAGAAGATTTTCCAAAGGGCAAGAACTGGCCTGTCCAGTTCAGCCCTGTATCCTTAGACCGGAACAGAAATCACTCAAGAGGACAGGCTACCTCTTTCCATACAGGTCCTAATTACATCCACTCAGCAGATGTGATAGTTGCTAATACAACCATCAAAATTTCCTGAGCCAAAGGAAGAAAACCAGGAGAAATCCCCTTCTCTTTAGCAAGTGGGATTTTACTCCTAGGAAACTAGAAATGAAAGCTTGTATTCATGCACGCATTCACTCCTGCCCAGAGTAATCATTCCACGAATATTTATGAAGCACTTACTGTGTGAGTGAGATAATGCATATAGAGTCACAGAGCTCTTAATGGTATCTTGTTAAAACGGTAATTATTATTAAATTGTGCCAGGCCCTGGGTGCACTGTGGTGAGTCAAACAAGCCTGAGTCTTGCCCTCGCGAAGACCCTGTCTGGAGTGAGCTTTCATCACTCCCCTGTGTTAGTACACAGAGGACAAGAAGCGCAAACCCAGTATTTATTTATGTTTGTGGATTGTATACAACTGACTTCAACTATTAATGTGTGAACTAGAGAATTACATTTTTTTAAGAGACAGAACTCAGAGAAAAGGCCATTTTATACAGGCAGATCTGTGGTTCTCTAGGCATTTGACAATGTTTGTAGTTTTGGGGGATTTTTGGGTGTATCATCGGTTTCTAACAGAGAGAGAAGTCGGGAATTCTGCTAAACATCAAAAAGGCCCAGGATGACAAGAAAGAATTAGCCCAAAATATCAGTAGTGCCCAGGTGGGCAAACCCTGACATATGCCAACATTTTAAAATCTGGGGTCATCTCATATTTGACATCCTACTTAGCCTTCTAGTGCAGGACTGAACACAGGAATACTGCTTTCACCCTCTACCCTCCACACACACAAGTTCATGGTCATCCAGAACCTATGAGCATGACCCTCTTTGGAAATAAGGTCTTTGCACATGTAATTAAATTCAAATGGAATTTTATTAGGTTAGGGTAAACTCTAATCCTGTATCTTCTGATATCCTATAAAAATAGAATTTGGACAAAGTTATACATAGTGGAATGATGGCCATGTGAGGACAGAAGCAGGGCCTAGGACAAGAAACGCCAGGAGAACTGGTAACCACCAAGAACCAGACTCCTCCTGGAACCTTTCCTGGAAGCAACACTATGCTGACATCTTGACTTCAGACATCTAGTGTCCAGAACTGTGACAGAATAAATTTCTGTTTTTCATGCCAATGAAATATGTGGGAGCCCTGGGAAATGAATAAACCCCTTTAAGCAAAACAACAGGCCTGCGACTATGTTTCTCCATTCCTTGCAACTCTCTCTACCACACCGACAAATACCACCAAGTCCAAGCTTAGGAGAAAAACCACATATTCAGTATTTACTGAGCAACTTCTATACTTTAAACATGCGTAGTACATCTGTGACTGAAAGCAACGATGATTTCTTCACAAGTGACAAAAACTTCTTTACTATACCTGGCATTGACACAAGATACTTTGTGGAGAGGTGAGAAAAGAGAACAAAAACCTAAAAGCAAGTCCACTGACATTGCACTTCAGGGCAGTCAGAGCTGGCTAGAATTTTTTGCAAGTGGTACATTATATTTATGCTGGTGAGTGAATCTGGCTTGGCAGCTTACATTTAAAAACCGTATGAGGAAGGTGATTCAGAAGCAAATTTTAAGGCCAAGGACCTCCTCTTGTTTTGAAAGTAGACACATCCCGGGAATTTTAAATACCCTGCTTTTTAACGCTCAGATTATTTCACTTTCCTCCGACCCCATGGTTTTTGATGAGTCCTTATTCTTATTGATTGTGGCTCTGCCCACAGTGGAGATTCTAGCAGTTCTCTACAGGATAGCTGCAGGGGGCAGGGAGGGGGCTAGTCTCCCATCCATCTCCCCAGCCAGCACACCCCATGTGTTTTAGCTGCATCCTTGGGGGCAGCTAAAACACACAGAATCTTTGGCTAAAATTTACAGCACAAGGACCATTCTACAGAGTAGCCTACGCGGATGTGTTAAGCAACCACGCCTTCTCCTTGACCCTATTTCCGTTATCTCAGGAAGTGAGTGAAAGTGTTATTTGGGTCTATTTGGGAGGTTTCCTTCCACTTAAGAGGGTACACAGGTGTAAAGTTCAAGTAAACGTTCAACTAAAGAATCAAGGCTAGTCTTCCAGCCTATACTAAGGAAACCCATACAGTTGTTTAACTTTTTTGGTTAGAAAAAGTAATATTTGCCTATGACAACTCTGAAAGCAGTCACCTGACCACACGGTTGTCTAATATCAGCTCTGTTCCTGTGACCTAAATTCAGGGCATGGACTGTTGTTATATAGAGTCTTTCTTAATAATGGTTGTTCATTTTGAGCACTTTTTTTCCAAGATAAATTTCTGTGGATTTTGCAACTGGTATGAAGCAAAGAGGGGTGTCTGGCCCACAGCCCTTCTGTAAACTAGCTACTTTAATCTAGAGTGACTCACCCTGAGTCGCTCTAGACTCTAGATTAAAGACTTGATCTCAAGTCTCAGTAGCCTCAACTGTACAAGCAGTATGTTGGTTTAAAATACTTTAAAGGTCTCTTAGCTGTCTGCACATTCTATTTTGTAATTAAGCAAAGAAATGAATTCTCCTAGATGAATGACATAAGGACCAGTCCAGTGGGGAAAAGCACTTCTAAAACGCAATGCTATACCAAGACTTTCAGAAGCAGAGTCTAAGGGAACAAATAGGCTTACAGAACTCATCTCACACATGTCAACCATGGAAAATGATTTCCAATAGCTCCCCCTTCCCACCCCCCAGCATCCTGGGAATATAAAAGTACTTCACCAAACCTAGCTCCTGAAGATTTAAACCTAAATATCACGCATCCCTTGTCATTTTACCTTAACACTATGCAACGAAGAGACCTAACACCTGAAACTATAATGTGTGCAAATAAAGCTAATGGAATGTACATTCAGATCACCTAGACAGCCTCCAACTTTAATTCTTACTATCCAGGTAGCTTCAGAGCTAGAGGGCACTCACTTGACAGAATGTGACATACCAGCTCTTACAAGGGTCCCGAGAGCTTAGAGACGCAGTGCCAAAGAAGACACTGATATCTTCAGAGAGAGAAACCATGACAAATCACAGCTTTACTTTCACAGTAAATCTGAGACCAGCCCCCTCACTCTACATTATAGTGAGTTGAAAATAAGACAGAAAATACATAAACAGGAGGTTTGTACCTTCCACAATCTCTGTTGAAGTAATTCCCTGAAGCTACTTCTGAAAAGAGTTGAGGAGCGAGGGTACAAAGAACCACTACTAAGAGATGTCCTAAGAGATCAGTTCACTCACTGCCGCCTTTCTTTACCAAAAAGACACAAATAGCTTCCTGCATCTTCCTGGGTTCTTCTTAGCATTAAACAGTGCTCACTTCTGTCCTTACCTGCCCTTCTTGTATCACTGATGAATCAAAACTGTACCTAAGTCTAGACACTGACCAACAAGGTGAAAAGGACAATGAACTGAAGGCCTTCAATTAATGTTTATGTAAACTGGAACAGGTTGTCTATGGCTTGAAAGGGGGAGGAGGTGTATAAATGGTTAATATTTCCAGCCCTTTCCACCCATGCCTACCCTCACACTACAAGGCTCCCACTATTCAGAGAACTGAGTATGACTTTAGCCTGCCTACATTTCCTCGCCAAAATACACACTGCACAAAGCCTAACACAGGCTGCATCTGTTAGGCTGCAGTGTAGCAACTGAGTCCCGAAGCACACGGAAGTAAGTAGCGTCCTGTAATGAAATGTGCAACGTGTCAGTCAGCATGGGAATTTCTGAAACAGCAGCCACTGCAGCAAAATCTTTACTCTCCAACCTGTGGGCCACGAAATCTGAGTGGGAGAAGAAATAGGTGTCCCTTTCTCTGTTTCTATCCCCACCGCTTTTTTTTTTTTTTTTTTTAACGTTGGAGGAGAGGCCTTGTCTGAAGTAGGCAAGGTAACAGGGCCCCTTCCAATATAGATAAGGGACTCCTGGCAACCCAGCGCTTCCCTTGGGGAGGATGCTACTTTGCAAGCAGGAGGAGTAAGTGTCATCCTCAGTCCTCTCACAACTTGACTCTGTGGACACTCATTGACAGTCGGTGGGACAGGTACTTTTGCGTTCCAATTCCCTTGCCCAGTTCCTAATTATTAAATCCTCTCTGGGGGTGACAGCTTAAAAATCAGCAAAAGAACACAGGCTGGCCGTTGCCCCCCGAGTGGGCAGAGACTTTCCAACGACGGGGACCCCTCCTTTCCCGGACTCCAAACTAGTTCCGAAGTGGGAACCGCGGCGGAGCTAGAGAGGGGCAGCACTTACCCCCATTCACCCCTACGGACGGCTCCAGCTTAGCTCCGGCGATCGCCAGCACTATTCCAACCATGAACCATTCTTTCCTCATTCTCTCCAGCAGCCTCATGTTTGTTAGGGCGGGTGGGTTTTGTTTATTTGTTTGGCTTTTTTCCTTTTTAAGCTGCGATCGCTTAATCCGCGGGAAGTCTCCACACTTTCCACGGCGCCTCCTGACATGCAGCAGAGCAAGTCAAATTGCCACTTGTAAACTAAAGACCGGAGGGTTGCTCCGGCGGCTAAGAGGAGGGCTGAGAGTAGTAGTATCCAGTGACAGGAAAGTCTCACAGCGCGCCGCCATCACTACCGCACTCCTCCGAGTCGCCGCGCACTCGACCCACGCTGCTCTGGTCGCGGCTCCCAAACCCATCTGCTCTGAAGCGGACACTTGGGCCCGGCCGGCCAGCGCGGGAGATCCAAGAAGAGAGGCTGCTCCCCTGATAGGGATGACAGATCCTCACTTCCTTCCAGGGCCACGTCCTGCAGAACCTTAGGAATGACTGGGACGGGGAGCAACAGTCAGGCGTCACGGCCGCTGACCCTTATCGAGTATCCCACACCAATAAGCCTTTAGGCAGAGTCGCCCGCATCCTTGGAGCGCAGCTCCGGAGAGACTCGCTTTCGCTTCGCTACGAGCCAGCTGGAAGAGCTAACTAGCAACCGGGGCAGGGATTTCTCTGTGCGAGGCGACAGCTGGGTGCAGTTGTTTGGGGGGCGCGCTTCTTCTAGACATTACGGCGCTTCCCGGGCGACGGCGGTGACGTGAGGCCGGGAAAGGGGCGGCCACTCGCTGTAGCCGGGTTCCGTGCTCTGGCCGCGGGAGTTCAGAGCGCTCCGCGACCGGCGCCAGAAGACGGCTTCCTCTAGGGCGGGGCGGGGCGGGGCGGGCCGGGGTTGGGGGCGAGGGGCATCTTTACCCTCTGGGGAATGCGTTGAAAATTAAGCACCCAACGGGCATCAGATTCGTAGGATCCCCGCGTGCTCTGCGCCGGGGGGGGGGGGGGGGGGGGGGGGCCCCGCCGCGGGTCGGTCACCTGAGGGTGGGCGCCGCGGGGAATGGGCGCCAGATCTTCCTTCCCGGGCGCTGCGTGAGTGTCCGCGCTTCCTCCAGGAAGCCAACGTGGGCAAACGGAGTGTCTAAGGTTGAGTCCGGAGGGAGCGCGAGAGCACCGTTTGCTGGCCCCCAGGGTGTGGCCACGCCAGGGGCGAGGACGCTTCTGGGAAGGGGGGCAGAAGCCCCGAGGCAAAACTGATGAACGACGGGAGCGGTGGTGATGGGCCGTTACTCCAGCAGCCAGGAGCCCTTGCCTTCTCTTCCTGGGGTGTTTTCTGACTTGGATCCCTAGTGAGGAACTTCTGCCTGTGGACTCTGCAGGTGCACCAGTAATCCTCTCGTTGCGCACCCAAATAAATAAGTAAATAAAATACAGTGTGACATTTGGAAGTGGTCTCTAACCTAATACTTACAATACTCAAATACTTGAAACTTAAGATTTGGAAGGGGTTTCTGGGGCTGCTCCCTGATATCAGATCCTGAGTTTATCTAAGGTTGAAAGGCCCTCATTCTGTAATTTCCTCTATTTAGTTTTTTTTGTTTAAAGATTTATTTATTTATGCATACAGAACTGGGGTACAGGCCAGAGGTGCAGGGGAGGTGAGAGGATTCACCAGAGACAGAGTGGAGAGCAGAAGGCAGATTGCCGAAGTACACTGCTGAGGGGAGCATCAGGCAGGTCAGGCGAGGTCTGCTGCGCCATGTGGTCACCTCTGGGGCAGGCAGGGATCGAACTCATGCAAGTGGCTTTAGCTTCTTAGTGCTGAGCTTTAACCCGCTGCGCCATCAGGGAGGGCCCTATTTAGTTTTAATGATACAACTTGCTGTCCCCAAGCTGAGCCAGCTACGCAATTGTGCTCCCAGCTGTAGGTTATATACAATGCCTCCTATCCTACAGCAAGTGCAGTAAAGAATCCCCACAGCAGCATTCACAGTAACAAAGACATGGTAACAGCCAGCATGCCATCAAGGGCTGCCTGGGTAAAGAGGTTGTGCAGACTATGCAATAGACTATGCAATACCACTCTGGTCCTGGAAGACAACATGGGTGGAACGGTAGGTGATGATGCTGAGCAAAATAGTCAGACAGGGAAGGACAATTATCAGATGGCTTCTCTCCTATGTGGAATATAAATAACCAAAGCAAAGAAGCCAGCAAGTCACAGCGAAAACAACTCTTAGATTCTGAAAAATTAGTGGTTACTGGAGGGTGAGGGGCAGGGACCTAGGTGGTAGGTGAAGTTATACACACACATAGGGGAACAGGCACCCACCATAATGTAGATAATTCTGTCAGTCAGTCAAAAAAAATACGAAAAAAAATCAAATGTTTAAAAAAGTGAATTCTAAGATTAAAATGAATGTACTAGGAAGGCACATAGAAAACTGAACATTTTAACCTGTAAAGAAAAAAGCCCTCCAGGTGTGATAAAATGTAATGTTCATTATCAGGCAGATGAGCATAGTACAGATGGAAGATGGTTTGCAACACAATTGGTTTCTTCTAGCAATTTCTTGATCCAAGAGTCATGCATCTGTCTTTGAAGGCATGTGTTGTACTAAAAGAACATTAAACATTCTGCTTACAGAAACTGAGCCAATGTATCTTTATAGCCATTCACAAATTTTTTGTTTTCCAAGAACTCTCTAATCTATTTAGAGCAGATTTTTAATTCATGGAGTGGTTTTTGTGTTTGTTTTGAATAGAAATTAAAGGAGAATACAGTGCACTGTGAGTTCTGGTCTGTTAAGGCCTATTTTAGTTTCCTGTAGCTGTTGTAATACCTGAAACTGGATACCTTAAAATGACCCTAACTGACTCTTTCATAGTGCTGGAAGCCTAGAGTCCCAAATCAGTGTTGGCGAATCTGTTCTTTGGAAGACTGTGGGGGAAAGAATCCTTCCTTAACTCTCCAAATTCAGCTCAGCTGAATTTGCCTTCCGTGGCCTCTGGCCATACCTCTGCGCTGTGTCCACGCCACTTTCTCTCGTGGTCACATCACCATAGTCTCTGTGTCCGTCTTTACATTGACTCCCAGTTTCTGTCTCTGCCTTCTCATCTGGGGGTCTCCTATAAAGACATCTGTTACTGGGCACAGGGCCCCCTCGTAACCCAGAATGATCTCATCTTAACTAACTACATCGGCAATGACCCTTTATCAGAATGAGGTGCTACTGAGCCCTCCACCTAGCCCCGCCTACCCAAAACCTCAGGATGTAACCTTACTTAGAAATCAAGTTTTTGCAGACCTAGTAAGTCGAGATGGTCATGTTGAATTCAGATGGATGGTAAATCTGGTGACTGGTGTGAAGACACAGAATGTCGCGAGCAGAATGGATGCAGAGGCTGGAGGAATGTGTCTCTAACTGTGTCTCCAAGCCAGGGATCATCAGCTACCAGCAGCAGTAAGAAGAGAGGACTGGAACAGATGCTCTCTCAGCCTCCAGAAGGAACCGACCTGCCTAACTTTGTACTTTTGGGTTTGTCCTTCCCTCCTAACCAGGACTTGAGTGGTAAACCTAGGAGGGTCAAGTTAGTTAAGCGATTAAGAAATGTAGGCTTGGGGTCCTCCCTGGTGATGCAAAGGGTAAGGACGCAGCACGGCAAGCCAGCCACAGCCCCTTCAGTGCGAGTTCGATCCTGTCTCTGAGGTGACCCACATGGCGCGGCAGACCTCTCCTGACCCGCCTGCTGCTCCCCTCAGCAGTAGACTTCATTGATCTGCCTGTTCTGCTCCCCTATCTGTGTCAGGTGAAACCTCTCACCGCCCCTGCACTTCTGGCTTGTACCCCAGTTCTGTATGCACAAATAAATAAATCTTTTAAAATAAATAAATAAATAAATGGGGGTTTTATATCAGATAGGAAGCTGCTTTCAAATGTAGGAAGTGTCTTGTGCAGGTGACAGTCTCCATGACGGCCACCAGTTAGCGGCTCTGGCCCTGGACACAGACATACGGTCTGTCAGCTTCTGCATTCCTGGAGTAGGGCTTGTTTTTCTAGTTCTGGTGGAAGGTCTTGTCCCCATAGCAACCTTATCAATTCCCTTATCTAGTCCAGTTTCCCAAACTTGCCTGCTGGGCTAAGAGTGGTTCTTAGTTTTTAACTTTGACGCCAGGCAAGTGCTTGTCTGAACTTAATAAATATCTCATTAGCAGGAAATGAATGATTGCTGAAAAACAAGGGAAAGGTTTGAAATTGAGTCTTAAAGTCAGATAATTCATTGCTTTCATGTGCTTTCAGCTGGCTTCTTAGGCTGTAATAATCCACACCAAATTGACCAACACTTTCATGTTCTGATGCTGCTAACTCAAGCCACCCATCCACCAAGGATTTCTTGCTTTCTTTTCTTTTTTTTTTTTTTTATTTATTTATGCATACGGAACTGGGGTACAAGCCAGAGATTTGATGCAGTGAGAGGCTTCACCAGAGACAGAGTAGGGAGCAGAACAGGCAGATCGACAAAGTACACTGCTGAGGGGAGCAGCGGGCAGGTCAGGAGAGGTCTGCCAGCCATGTGGTCACCTCCGGGGCAGGAATCGAACTTGCACTGAAGCGCTAGTTTGCAGTGCTGCATCTTAACCCATTGTTCCACCAGGGAGGGGCCCCACCAAGGATTTCTCTGGTCTTTCCTGGGGACTTGTAGGAGATCACAGGTATAGAACTCCATTTGTAACAGGTGGTCCCCAGGAAAAGGGGAGGTTCCAGCTTCCCTGCCCCACCCAAAGGAGGGTGAGACAAGAGAAGAATCTGGAGAGGAGATGGAAAAGGAAGGAAGCAGGATGGGGAGCCAGAAGGAGACCCCAGGGAGGCGCATGGAGCAGAGACACGTGAAGAAGCAGGCAGCTCTTGGCTCCTGGTCCTGGACTGGTCGGAACAGATGTAGTGAGAGACCGGTGGGGAGGTGACTATGGCAGCGTTTATCTTGATTTTGATTTTGCTCTTTCCCCCCCAGGCCCTTTTCTATGGGCCCCGGCCAGAAGGTACTTTTGACGTGTGGCTGGTTTCAGGCCTTGCTTTGGGCCAATCCCTTTTGGGTGGACTATTGCCCACGAGGGGAAGGGGAACTTCAGGTGTTTGATTTTGAAACTATATTCTCTCCTCTGTATTGCACACCCATTGCATTAAAGTTCCTTTCCATGAAAGGTCTTATATGTTTTGATGCAGCAGATGGCAGAACCTATTTAGAGCGGGCAGATTTGGGGGTTTAGAGGTTCTCCTCTCCCTGCCCTGTAACACATCCAGACAAGTTACATGTGAGGCCAC